GGGACATTAGTTTGTTTAAAATCGAATCCACAAATTACATGAAAATCCTACCTGTTATAGTTTTAATCACAATTTATCATATCGCATGGTTGGTATTTCCCGTATTTGAGTACGGAATAAATTAATTCAAATTGTGGAGAACGAGCAAAAAATCATGGCGATACGATCGTACCGTTAAAAACCACGTATGTTCGAGCTACAGCTTACGACGAATAAGCTCGTAATACTGGATCAGTTTGGTAATTTTCTCTCTCTTTCTCTCTGTCTCTCTTTTGAAATGAACGCCCTTCGTGTTCACAATCGTGCTCGTATTGGCACAGATTGCTGCTCAAAAGGAAAGCAACGCAGTTGCATCGTAAAACATCTCGCGCTGCAACACGTTGCTGAACGACGTAAATCGTGAGTTAAATACGCGATTAATGATACCAAGAACGAAATAATCGCATAATTGCTCATTTGAAATCAATGGGGGGGCCAACGCTCGCGTACGTATAATGTACGCACATTACCTGTGTGTGGCTACAGGCAAACAGTATTTACGTGAGCCATGCTCGTGAAAAAGTGAAGAAAACAATCGGGAACGAAAGCAAATGAACTGGAAGGAGAAAACAAAAGAGACGAGACCTGAAATCGAAATAGAAAACACAGAGGGCATATGCCAGACTTTCCTGCAGTAGGACAAGGGGGCAAAACGTTGAGGATCAGCTTTGTGATCGCCATATGTTCCTCTCGCGTACGTTTCGTTCGCTGATATCGATTGACGGAGCCCCGAACGTGCATCTTTTTTTATGATTAAATTTTAGTTTTTTTACGTATATTTTTTTATATTAATAAAATCAAGTGTATTTCTCAGATTCGATAAAGTGTCCACTATCAAAATTATCCGACACCGGCTAAACGAATATCGCAAGTGTCAGTCTCGCGGGACCGACGCCAACGAAACGATCGATGGGGACGTCGGTCCGGAGGGACCGACGCCTTGTTATTTGTTTGGCCGACGTCGGACACTTTAGTGGACACTTCGTCGAGTTTGAGAAATACGCTTGATTTTTATTTATAGTATAAAAAATACACGTAAAAAAACTACGAACGTGTTAAGAGACCAAGTTAACAAAGAAGATCCTTACTATATCGAGTCATCATTCCAGTTTCCAGAAATACTCCATGATTATATAAATAATCATTGTTTTATTTTCTCACGGTGTAAATACATCAATTTATTCTATATTTTCCTGCGTTACATTTAAATATTAATTGTCGGATATACGATCAGATGCCAGATCTTAGCATGCATGTAATTTGCTCGCCACTACAGTTTTTATTACTATTTAATTTAACTTAATTGACAAATACGAGTGAACACTCTGTCGTGTGTACGAGAATAAAAGTACAGGCGATCATTCAAAGTATAACATTGGAGAGAATAGAGTGACGATACTCACTACTCACTTATACGAGAAAGTAAAATAAAAACAAAGTAAAAATAATAATATAACGAAAGTATAACTTAACACAATGTCATTAAGTGTAATTTATTATTGACTCTAAAAGGGAAAAATTTGTTACCACATTATTATATTAACGTATTAACATTTATTAATAAATGAACTATAGTATCGTTTGCGTAATTTTAAACAATAAGCAGAGATTACTATTATTATTTTAATTCAATTAAAATCATGACAAACCATAACAGCAAGAACTTGATTATAACAGCAAAATTTTATTACAAAGTCTTCGTTATTATATCGCAAGGACCCGCTGTTGCACAAACGACAAAATTCGTGGATTCCTGAGGCTTTCTGAGTCTCGAGAACTTGATGCAGGCGTGTTATCGGATAAACAGAAGACGAAAGATATCACGAGATTCCCGAGTTGCCGCTTTAAATTCTAGTATCCGATAACGTAATCGTGTCGCGTCCTAACTGAATTACCTTCTCCGTTCCACGGACCAGCGTTCAGGTGTGCCAGAACTTGCCCGGTGTAACTCTATGCGCGTTCTAGAAATCAAACACGCGACGCGCGCTCGACGTTACCAGGATCATGAGCCTATTTATCGACCTGTTTTTAAAGGAACGTTCTCCGAAAAGCGAACTTTGGCTGCGAAATTTGGCGATTTTCATCGAGTCGAACAGCGTTTTCGATTGAGTTCAGATGCTAACAATAAGTCCTGTTACACACTTTATTTAATTATTCAGCGGTATGCATTAAATTATTATATGCGAAACGCTATCGGCCAGGATACTTTTTCTATCTGATTTTTATCCACGAGCGCGAGATCGTCCGACGAAAGAAAAATTCCTCCGTATCGCGGATATCTTGGACATCTTTGGGGGGGGGGGGAGAGAAAAAAAGTCAATCCGTTTGCGCGATATCGCGCTCAATTAACCAAACACCCGTTCAGACGTGGAAAACGCAACGTTGAGATAACACGAGCCAGCGTACAACGTGCTCTTTGTGCGTTATCTTTCTCTCGTTTCTCTCGTTCCGTTTCATCGGCGACCTATCACGAACATTCGGCCGCGCTCCTTTATATCAACTGTAAAGCTCAGTCGAAACTGACGGATATAATCGTCCACGGGACAGTGGTCCTAATAAAAATACATTTTAGACCGTTCTAGATTTAATTTCGATTCATAATCGTCTTTCCACTCGGACAATCAGATAAAACGTCTGCGTATAATTCATTGAAAAGTTTTTTGTAATACTGAAATTGCAATAGAAACCTAAATATCAGTAAAAGTAATCTTTTTTTTTTTTT